CTCGCTGCTGGCTGTCGTATTGCTGGCACTGACCTCTTTTCCGTGCGGCTGCATCCTGTGGCGTCTGCGTGGGCCCCTGCCCCCTCGCCTTGTGCCTCGCCTCGCCTCGTCCGCGCTCGTTCACACTTGGACGGACACGCTTGACCGGCCTCCAGATTCTGCTGACTGAGCTGTCGTTCCTGCTGCCCGCTGGCTCTGGCAGCCCGGACCCCAAGGAGCTCCTTCTTGCCCGTAAGTTTGCGTCTGGCCCATCCGACCGTCAGTTGGCCCGTTCACTTTTGTAATGCTCATGGCGTCATTGGCTTGCAACAACAGGCGAGATCCTCGAGATCGGTGCCTTGTGGAGCATCCGCTCCAAGGACATTCCCTCCTTTGAGCGCTACATTGCTCAGCTCAAGGCATACTATGTCGACTACGCGTACGTTCTTGTCTTGCCGCCTGCTGCTTTCCTCTCCTTACTCAAAGCATCTATGGTGCCGGTTTTTGACCCACCTTGGTCACACAGGACCGTTCTTCCCGAGTCGGCGCGTCTGTACACAATTCTCGGCCTCAATCTCTTGCGTCTGTTGGCCCAGAACCGCATTGCAGAGTTCCACACGGAGCTCGAGACCATTGACCCTGACCACATTGGCTCCAACGTGTACATCAAGCACCCCGTGCAAATTGAGCAGTGCCTCATGGAAGGCTCCTACAACAAAGTCTGGAACGCCCGCGCCAACGTCCCTGCGGAAGAGTACACCTTCTTTATGGACATTCTGATGGGCACGATCAGGTGAGAGCGGCTTGCCTCTCCCCTATCATCCGACGTGGCTGTCAGGCTGACTGTTGAGCGCATCCATTCACCTATCCGTCCATTCGTTGCAGAAACGAGATTGCTGGCTGCAGCGAGAAGGCATACACCACTCTCCCCATTGCCGATGCCACAACGCTCCTTTACTTCAAGACTGGTGATGAGCTCCTGACGTTTGCCAAGGAGCGCGGATGGAACGTCAACGCGACCGAGAAGAAGATCTACTTTGGCGTCAGCAACAACGACGACAACGAGATCCCTGCTCCCAAGATGATCAGACAGATGCTGCACTACGCACAGGAGCTTGAGCAGATTGTCTAATCTCGCTCTTGCTGCTTCTCTTGACCAAGCGTGGCATTGTGGCCGTCTCTGGTGGTGCAATGACATTCGTTTGTGGTATCGCTGTCGAACTCAATGAACAGACGAGCCAGCCCTTCATTCTTGCTCTTGCAGCCAACCAACGCATTGCAATCGCACAAACGCATCACATTGGGAGCTCTGCAATCGTCCCGCTGCGACTCTGTTGTGCCAGCGATAGAGCAGATGGGCTCATGGTGACGATCGATCCGCGCTTGGCAGACGATGGACGTGACTGCTGTGGTTGCTGCTGTTGACGAGAGAAGCTTGATCGCGACGATGCTGTCGCCGAGCGTAACGCCATGCGGTCCTCGACGCGCTGGATGACTGTCTCGAGATACTTGCTGCGCTGGCCCGGCAGATGAGCGTACGGGTTCGGATTCTGCTTGGCAATGTTCTGGACGCGCATGCAGTGGATTCGCATGAGCGTTTGCAATGTCAGGCAATGGAAAGCGATAACGCAAGGGATATTGCGGCTTACATATGCGATCGAGCCAATCGGGTCGAGAATGTCTTCGCCAGTCTTGACGCTCTTGAGGACCTTTTCAATGGCCGGCAAGAGCGTCGGGAACACGACGCGCTGAAGATATGCCGATGCTTCCTCCTCAAGCAGTGGATTCGGAATGGGAGTCCTTGCGCTCATGGGGCGGCGTGATGGCGATGTACTGGTGCTGGGATTCGTGCCGATGCCGGATTCTGTGCTGAAGGTTGAGCTGCTGGCTGATCGGCCCGAGCCAGGTGCCCAAGTGAAGCTTGCAGGCTGGTCAGTTTCCGCGAGTGTTGGTGGATGGTGGTGGTGATGGTGATGATGGTGGCGGCTTTCGCCGTCATGTGCGATCTCGTGTGCGGCCGATGGGTCGTCGAGTGACAATGTGGATGTATCCTTGCTGGGCTGTATGACGATGTCGTCCAAGCGGTGCTGATCACCATTGTCGTCTGCCTGCTCTTGGCCGTTGCCACCTTGACCGCCACCAGCTGTATGACTGTTTTTGGACCGGTTCAGCTCGCTGCCACCACCAACCGCAAACCCTTTTTTGCTATGCTGGTCCTTTGGCTTGTGTTGCTGGTGCGTCTTGGACGACTTGGTGGGATCTTGGTGACGCGACCCTGGCGAGCGCGCTCGGTTTCTGTCCCTGTCGCCAGACGTGGCTCGTGGCGTCGTTGGGCCCGATGCCGCTTCAGACGACGGGTCCGACTTGCCTGCCTTCTTGGCCGAGCCTGCGCTGTGGATATTGCGAGAATCGCGGGGACTGCCAACAGCCTTTCCAGAGTTGCCATCCAACGGCGGACGCTCTTGCTTGCTCTGTTGTTGTTGCTGCGTGGCTGCAAGCGGCTCGTGAGGCTCGGTGAACCCCTCTGCTTGACAGCATAGCAGCAATGGTCGTCGAACAGTGTCAGCATCCAGAGAGTGGCATCTTTTAGTCGTGTAGGCTGCAGGTACACACCAATGAGCTCGTCGTCGTCAAAGTCACTGCCTGCAGTCTGCGGACGGCGTTTGTGAGCAGAATGCGCAGACGAGACCATTTTCCAAGTTGAACCGGCAAGAATATATTGTGCGCCGGCTTGACAGCTTGACAGAGAAGCGTTGGCAATGGAGACGACAGACAAGCAGAGCAAGACCGCGGCGGCGACGAGCCCCAGTGCCGACAAGGACAAAGCACGCCAGCGAGAAAACTCCAACACATCCGGATTGGTGGGCTGCACCTGGACTCCGTCTCGGCTTGTTGACTGCCTTTCCTTGCCCATGCAGCTCGCATAGCTCCCTTGCCTCAATGCATAGCGCATACGTGTCTTGCCAGTCTCGAACTGCTGGACGCGTCTCGTACTCGCGTTTTTGCTGACCGGCGTGCTTTGATGCGCGACAGTCGTTTCTAGGCGGACTGCTGAAGAAGAGCAACCCAAGCATGAGATTCTCGAGCAACTTGGCCGACTACGACTTGATCAGCGATGTTGGTGAGCCAATCGACGAGTGTTGGCACTGCTTGGTGCTGTTGTCATGCCAACTCATCGACTGCACAACGATGTTGGCAAGGCGGCGTGGACGACATTTCCTTCCTGTACTTGGCCAAGCACAATCCAACAGGCGACATGGTGGCGTTGCAGTACACGGACCTGACACTCTCGCCAGACTATGAGTTTATTGAAGAGCTGATTGTGCGTGTGGCTGCATGGACGGCATGGCCACAGTTGGCGGCTTCTGCATACGCGACTAACCCCCTTGAACGCCATGGCCGGGTCTCAGCGAAGCGTTCATAATGCCAAAATGTGCAAGCATCCCAACATCCTTCCGTATCTGCATTCGTTTATCCAGGAAGAACGACTTTGGTCAGTGACGTATCCCGTCAAGGCAGGTCAGTCTCTCATCCAGAGTCTCGCATGCCGCTCAACGCGGACTCTAGGGTCTCGCGACTGATGCGGCACTTGTGGCTGTTCATCCAGGCTCATGCCGCACTATTCTCAAGTCTCATTTTCCAAACGGCTTCGGTGAAGACGTTGTTGCGTCATTCTCAAGTCAGTGCTCAAAGGCTTGGTCTATATGCACCGAAACCACATGATCCACAAGTAAGCCTGCAATGTCTTCATGTTCAGCGCAATACGCGAGTGTCTGATGCTCCAATCTTGCAGCGATATTCGTGCCGGCAACATTCTGATTGATCAAGGCGGCCATGTGCGTATCACCGGTCTGCGCCATCTGGCACATTTGTCGCAGAACGGCGAGTACGTCCAATCCGTGTTTTCGCTTGTGGGCGACAACATTGAATGGGCAGCACCGGAAGTCATGGCGCAAAACAGCAACTACGACGAAAAGGCGGATGTGTACTCGATTGGCATCACTGCTCTTGAGCTGGCGCATAACCGCACGCCGTTTGACGATTGGCCGCCACTCAAGGTAGTCCAACTCGGCCGCAGACTGCCCATGCCGGATCGCGTTTCTAACATCAACCACCGCCAATCCCTGCACATCTTAGGTGTTGCTGTGCAAGATGGAGTACGAGTGTCCAGCACTGCAGGCGGTCGACAAGAGCATGTCCAAAAACTTTAACCGCTTCATCCAAGCGTGCCTGAGCAAGGATCCGGGCATGCGACCCAGTGTGCAGGACCTCCTTGAGTTCCCCTTCATCAAGCAGTCGCGAGGATCGGCATACATTGAGCAAAAAGTGGTCAAGGCTGTGTTGGATGGAGTGGTGGTCGAGTCGCCTGTCGCGGATGGCGGTGATGTGCCCCCGTCTGCTTCTGCGAGTCAGCAGGCTGTGGCTGAAAGCAGTGGAAGGGATCATCCAAAACGACCAGCAACGAGGCAGTGCATGTCTCGACCAGTCTAGTTGCAGACACTGCTGGACGACGCGGGTCGGGACATGCGAGATAATGTCTCTCTGGTGATGCCAATGCTCATGTCAAACAAGTCACAGAGACATAAACGCCATACTCGTTAAAGCTGTTGGCTGTGCGTAGATCACTCAGTGATGGCATCCCCCTGGTCCGGCACGTCCATGGTGTTGGCTCCATAAAGTATGCTGGATTTTAGGTGATGCCAAAGTTCATTCCAAGAAGATTCCCAGTCCCCAAGACACTAGATGCCATACCCTTTCGAGCTTTAGGCCGTGCGTAGATCCCTCAGTTATGTCATCCCCCTGGTCCAACACGTCCGTGGTGTTGGCTCCACAAAGTACGCTGGAACACAGCATGGACAGCCTGAAGAAATGCGCACATTTCGCGAGGCGAGTGGACGCACATCTTTCCGTGAAGACAGGCGGCGTGCAGGATCGTCCAAAATGAATGCCACACTGCCTGAATGCTGCAAAAAGAGAGCGAGGCTGCCTGTCCATTCCACATGTGGAACGGGCGAAAAGTGTGCATCGACCGGGGGTCGAACCCGGGCCACGCGCTTGGAAGGCGCGGATGTTAACCACTACACTATCGATGCTCCTCTTGTTGAGAGATTTTGCTTGCTTGAGTACTTGAACCGTACTTGTACAAACCACAAGAATGGAGTATCCCAGCCTCGCCTGCCCAAAGCATGGCACTCTGTGCCACCAACCAACCGCACTGCAAGCAGCGCTTGGGCACACCACCGCACAGATGCGATCGGCCCACGGACAGCCCACCGACAGCCCACAAGTCATCCAGCCTTGAGATCCGTTCTGCCGACTTTCCCAATCATCGCCCAACACAGCGACAACACCTTGCCTCTGCAAGCACCAACGAACACCATGGACCACGCAACCGGCAGCCGCTCGGCAGCAGTCGACGCCGACACGGCATTCGGCACTGCGACGTTGGCAGCAGCCCTCGAGCACAGCACAGCAGCCAGCACGGGCGACGACCACCAGCCGCCGCTCGATGGCTGCAATGTGGAGCAGCCGAAGCAGCCGTCTGGCCGCAACGAGCCGCTGCCGTTCGGTCGCAGCCACTGGGACGGCAAGCCGGCAGAGATCCATGCCATGATCCTCAGGGCCGCCGGCCCGCTCACGCTCTTTGTCAACGGCCTGCTGGGCGACAGCGACCGTCTCAGCTACCGAACAAAGCGAGCGCTGTGGACGGATGCATTCGAGGTCGACTGGGACGGCGATCTGGCGCTGCTGCCCGATGTGCCGCTGACGGCCGACAACGGCCTGTGCGAGGTGCGGTCGCGGTCCATGTATGCCAGGCTGTGCGCTCGCTTCCCCGACAGGCTGGCCCGCGGCGACGTCTCGGAAGCCAACTACTACTCGGGCGGCACGATGGTCCGCCGCCACCGCGAGCTGCTGCTCCACGTCCCAATGCGGCGTGGCTGGTTCGACCTGCTCGACTTCAAGTTCACCGTCTGGCTCAGCTGGATGGCGATTGCGTTTGGACACCCGCTTCTCCTCAAGCACCTCGTCGCCCACCACCGCATCAACCTGCGAAAGTTTGGCACGTTTGGGGAGTTTATGGCGATGGATCTCGCGGCTCGGTCTGGGTGTCTGGAAGTGGTGCAGATGCTGCACGATGCAGACAGCCGTGCGTGCACGACAGAGGCCATGGACCAGGCGGCATTGGGCGGCCATCTGGATGTGGTTGTCTGGCTCCACACCAACCGCACGGAAGGATGCACGACGGATGCCATGGACGGCGCAGCAGAGGGCGGCCATCTGGACGTCATCCAGTGGTTGCACATCAACCGAGCAGAGGGATGCACCAACGATGCCATCGACCTGGCAGCCATCTCTGGCCATCTGGACGTCATCCAGTGGCTCCACGCCAACCGCACAGAAGGATGCACGATCAACGCGATGGATCTGGCGGCTGCAGGAGGCCACCTCCCTGTTGTCAAGTGGCTGCACAGCCATCGGACAGAGGGATGCACGACCAAGGCGATGGACTATGCTGCTCGACACGGCCGACTCCCAGTTGTCCAGTGGCTGCATGCCAACCGCAGCGAAGGATGCACGACCGATGCCATGGATGGAGCGGCAGAGGGTGGCTATCTTGATGTCGTCGAGTGGCTGCATGCCAACAGACGCGAGGGATGCACGACCAAGGCAATGGATGAGGCAGCCGCATGCGGCCATGTACCCGTGCTGGAGTGGCTCCATGCCAATCGGACAGAAGGTTGCACGACCGGTGCCATGCTGTGTGCGGCTCAAAACGGACACGTTGACAGCATCGCCTGGCTGCATCGGCATCGCCCAGACACGTATACCCCGTGTGTTCAACAGCGCGTCGAGCAACGGGCGGCTCGATGTCCTGCAGTGTCTCCTCGACTGTGGATACAAGGTCGATCTCCGGACCATCCGGCACGCCAAGGACTCTGCGACGAGGGCGTTTCTGCTGCGCACGCTGACGCTGGAGGAGACGAGCAGCTGCATCGCGAGGCGATTGACGCACGGGCAAAGCCACGCGTTGTTGAGCAACTGGCAGCAGCCGTTGCCAAGCACAAGGAGTCCAGCAGTGCAATGGCTGCAAGGGAATAAAGAGATGGCGAGTGTTGGTTGCGTTGGTTTTCGACGGGAGCTGTCTGCTCGCAGAGTGTGCTGCCTGCCAGCCAGCCAGCCAGCCAGCCAGCCAGATCCAAATCGGCAGCCAGATGCTCCGCCATCCTCCGCCACGAGCAGTGCCGTCTCAGCGACTGTCGCGGTCGGAGTTTGACGCGCGGCCGACCGACTTCTGTGGCTCAGCACACGGCAACGACTCTGGCAGTGTGTGTGTGAGTGTGTGCATTCGACCACAACCACAAGACTCAGCAGTCTTTGTCCGCTGCTCCGCATCCAAGACACACTGTCGGGCCATGAACAGCGGCAACAGCAGCAGCCTGCACAGCAGCAGTAGCCATTCACACGCCCCGTCGTTTCTGCTGGCTGGAGCCACACCGGCAGCCGCCGTGTCTTGCCAGCAGCCAACAACGAGCGGCGCAAGCCATGTCTCGTGCGTGCCGCCGTGTGTGTATCCAGTGTCCCACCCATACTCGGGGTTCTCGTCGCTGCCTCACCGCTTCCGTCGCGAGCTGCATCTGCGCCTACAGCAGCTGAAGCAGCAACAGCAGCTCCAACTCCTACAGCAAAAGCAGCAACAGCAGCAGCAACAGCAGGCCAGCGCCGTCGATAGCCACACATCTGCATTCACTGAGCCCGACGCCTCGTTTGCCTCTGGCTTGGATGCGGCTGCACCGACCTGGTATTTGCACGACCTTGTGAATGGACCGGCAACGAATGCGCCGTCGTCATCCAATGCAACGGCTCTGGCAAGCTCGGCGCGGGCACCGGGCACAACGACAGCGTCGACAGCGTCCATGTCGTCTGCAGCCGATGGGTCTGGGCATGCAGCCGGCCATGCAGCCGGATATGCCGCGATCACAGGGCGTGCTCATCACTCACACAAGCGGAGTGGAAGCGGGGTCGGCGCCACTTCAGCAGCATTTGGTGGCAATACAGACACTGTGTACAGTGCAGCCGGCGACGACTCGTCGTTCACGGGCCAGCGTGCTGTCCTGACGTTCCGCCAGCAGCTCAAGATGGACATTGCCTCGCGTGGCTCGGCCGTCGAACGACTGTTTGCACAGCTTGGCGTGGTGCGTCGCATCGGACGTTTGATGTGCTACTAGTGTGCCGACTGACTGATTGGTTCTGTGCCGCCTACAGGATGTGGACGGTGCAGGCGATAGACCTGAGGCTATCTCCCGATTGCTTGAGATGCAGCCCGACTTTGGCCACGCATCGGCAGAAGCCATGGACAAGATGCATCTCATCACTGCGTTGCGACAGGCGCAATGCTCTTACTGATCATACTTTGATAATAGATATGGCCCGATATTCACACACTTCACTTTCCGCTCAAAAGAAACATGTCGGACGAAGCAGCCGCAGCGGCTGTGCAGCCAGAAGATGCAGCTCAGGACGAGGCGACGAGAAGCAGCGAGTCCAATCAGGACGGGGACAAGGCAGAAAAGAAGCCGTCGGCGGCAGCGCCAAAGGCGGCAGACAAGGATCCGCTCATGCGGCACCACCCGGATCCGCTTGATCAAGTCGACCCGCCCGGCCCGGAATGCGACGAGGCCGCACTGCCGGCCACCAAGACCCGCATTCCCGATCCATTCCCATACCGCCACTACAAAGCCTTCCACCCGTGCAGCAACAAGCTGCTGGCAATGAAGTGGGACCAGACGCTCCGACAGCAGCACCTCAAGAAGCTGGCGGCTGCCAAGCCGACGATCGACAACTCTGCACCCAAGCCGTACATGCACCTGCAGATGAAGCTCAAGAAGCTGCAAATGGAAGAAGGTTTGTCTGTGCAGCCTGTGCATGCCTGTGCTGTCTGTGATGTCTGTTGATGGGCAGACGTGCTGCGCATGCGAGAGTGTCTGCAAGCATCGGACGCGACCGCCAAATGCAGGCATGGAGATGGCCAGAAAACGACAAACAAATCACACTGCTGTCGCTGCCGCAGAACGACCGAGCGCATGCCTGCCTGGCTGAGATGGCTGGCTGACCAAAGGGCTTGCCGCAACCATCAACAGACAGGCTCGCGCTGATTGAGCGCAACAACCGCATCCTGCTCGAGAAAATGTCGCACATTATGGAGATGGAGGCCAAGGACCCCAACATCCATGGCGACCGCGACTATGCACACAGTTTGAATGCCGGGTTCCGTGCACGCGAGATGGGCAAGATCCGTGCGGAGAACAGGGTGGGTCGTATCTGCGTGCACCCATTCCCGCCATCCATCTCACGCCGCGTCCCGTCACTGAACGCTGACCAACGCTCCCCGCACACGGCTGCCAGGCACTGCTCGGACGTTTGGAGGCCAAGCAGCCGCACTACGACCACATCAAATGGATCGACGAGCGACTGCGCAACCTGGCGTATCTCCAAAACATCTCGTGCTACCCGCACCGGTACATTGAGTTGCGCAAGGAGTGGGCCAAGCAGGTCGTGCCTGTCGAGCAGCGTAAAAAGGCACGGTCGCTCAAGCCGGACAAGGCCATGGAGCTGCGCGCTGTCTTCATGCCTCCGACGCCTGTTTCCGAGAGCGGCGAGAGCGGACACGGTGTTGATGGCCACGACCATGAGCATGGTGCCGTGCACGACGACGCGCATGCTGCTGCTGATGGCAGTGGCAGTGGCAGTGGCGACGGTGGATCCAAGAAGGGCAACCCAAAGACCAACCTGCTTGCAAACTCGCCGTTCCAGCAGTCGCAGCATCCACAGCAGGGGCAGCACGGACATGCACGCAAGGCCGGCGCAGCAGCTGCAGCAACAGCAGGCGGCGCAGGCGCAAAGACGCGCAAGCCGACCAAGGCGGTGCCGGTCGCAGAGGTGGATCGCGTCGCGTCTGGACGCGGCCCTCGCAAGAGCGTGCCACTTCCCGAGATTGCAAAGTCGACGGACAAGCCACCTCTGGAGGAGTCGCCAGTGACGATGCCTCTGCCCGAGCCCATTGCCGCATAGATGGTTACAAGGATGGATGTGG